TTTAATTGTTATCGTTTTATAAAGCATTTGGAACTTTCAAATAAACCTACTTATAAGACCACATTTTTATTCTTATAATACTCAAAGTGCTAAATGTAACAAAGTAACTCAAAAGCTACCTGTTTAAATTAAGATTAAATACATCGACATTTTCAAAAAAAATCATAATATACTTAACAAATTACAGTGCGTGGTTTTCATATTAAAAAAAAAGAAATTTGATAGTATTAAATTAATACATTACACGACACGACACTTCAAATGACACAACAAATCTAGTACATTATTGATAATATAGCTTTAAATTTTACCTAAAACTTCCAAAAATCAGAATAGTTACGGGAAAAATAGAGTGAATCACATAATATAACACAATGTACAAAATAATAAAATAAATGTAATTATAAATAAATTATACTTGTAGTTAAAGGTATATTAATTACAATTAAACACACTTTGTTCCTTTATACATTGAAATGGATATACCTAATATTAAAAGATGGTTATTACTTATTTCTATAAGTTCAACCTCAGTGGTTTGCGAACAACTACCGTCTGTAATAATAACCATTATTTTGTACAAACTTAAAAATAATAAAAAATATGATGCTGTGTATTGTTATTTGTTAATAAATAATATCGTTAAGATTAATAATAGATATAAATAAAAAAGTTACATTATGGCTTTGGTTATTGACTATATGATGTACCTGTATTACGTTATCTAAAAATGTCATCCCCATAGTACAACTGTTTATTAAAGGTTTATATAAGTTATATAATAACTATTATGCAAAAATAAACATACAGAACAGTTTTAGGGATGTAAGCTCTGATGTACTAAACAATTATTTTTAGAATCTCATTTCTCTCTAAAGGTACTATCATGACTCGCTGCATTTTTAATTTATGGTTAAGGGTTTCATGTTTTTCTCTAATTGGAGAGAAACATGTTTGTCTTAAGAGAGCATATTATATTATTACTGTTGGGTACCTTTAGTTCCGTTTTCTCCCTAAATATACATGTAACAGAGAATAAATAAACTTGATGAATTTTGGATTCTTGAGCATGTACATAATTACCCCCTTTGTTGGGTAATATTTTAATGGACGAATATCTTCCATCATTATAATGATTTATCTCTTATTCTTAGTTTGTAATTTTGTTTTTATAATATGGCCAGTTAAGTACTTAGATGTCAGTAAATAAACGAATATAATGTATTAGGCACTTGCAAATATAGTCAATACGAAATAACTTTGACTTTACGTTATGTACACAGAAATACAAAATATTTTATTAAAAATTATACTTATTATTTCTATAGGATATGTTTGACAAATTATTGTGTAAAATTAAAACTATAGCTATGACGATGGGTATAAAATTATAAGCATATGCACCGAATGAGAAGGTCTAACGTATTTATTTTAAATACAAGCAGAAGAGCAGCAAGTCAATTAAATCAACTAGCATACAAATGTCATACAAATATTAAGAATCGATCATTCGTTTGTATCGAAACCAGCTACACTTGGATACGACGTCTTTCTAGAAACGTATCAAAAAGTTATTGTTATGACTTTTATTTGTCAGCTCGACACTAATATCATGACCAAATTTATTGTGTTTGATCTTGTGTTTTCACATAAAATACGTTGTCTTCACCTTAAACCTCTTTATAACTCTCCCCCTCACTGCACACTTAACAAATGATTGGTGTGGTTTGTACTTTGTCGAGTCACAACACTAAATCCTCAGTTTGTAGAATGTTTATGGTTCACCCATCACCTCTCATTTGTACCCACAATTGTTTATAGTTCATCCATTAATTCTTACCCATCATTTAGCATTCTAGCTTATTGAGATATTTTACTGTCAAATTTAAATTCGATACCATTGTATTTATCTTATACTTGTTGATAAAATTCAAATAAACTATTTGGACGTAGGTATCTACTACCTACCTTATCGCTAAACAACATTCTATAGTATTTTACAGTCAAAGAAAAGTTTAAACTACATAAACAATATGATATGAATATAATTCATAAAGTATATTTAAATGCAAATAATATAATACATTTTGAACTGTTTCATTTACTATTTAAATAAAAAATACATTGAATACTAGTACACTCATTCACACAAATATTTATGACAACAATTCTAATTTTAATGTAGGTAGTAGGTGTCTATACAAAAATACTTGTAAAAAATGTATTTAACTGAAACTGCACAATATTTTTAAAATGTTTTCATTGTTATATAAATATTTAAGAGTTGAATATTACACGAATTTACTAAAGTAGTTAGTCCTACAATTTTAAATTTATAAACAATGAACTAAATATACTAATTACGTATTGTATTTTGTATACAATACTAGAAATAAATATTATACCTAAAAATATTTAATATTACTTAATAAGGTGGTACGTTTAAATAATTATGTCAACACATTAAAATAATATTACAAAGAATTCCTACGAAAAAAATGTTTAAATACCCAATGAACTATATCCTACATGTTACGCTCGTTATGGATTATGAATTACAGCCTGCAGGTTCTATGTTATGATTTAAGGGATTATTGACTACAGGAGTCGGAATTGAAATATCGATTTTGTGCTTTTTAAATGAGTACTCTGATTGCCCATTTCAACGAATTTTTTTTATCAAAAACGTCGAATATTTATATTTTAGGTACATACCCATGTATGATTCATGTTACAAGTTATTGAAAGTTATATTATATACAACAAGAACAACCAATTAAAAATAAACCAAAATATTGTTTCTTTAATTGAAAATCAAATCAAAAATTGTTTCGTATTTATAATTTATATTATTGAATTAATTTAAATTAAAAATCAAATAAAGACTTATAGACATCTAAAAAATAATTAAATCGCCAAGTATTTGTAACTTAAGAAATAGTTATAAACAATTCAAATAAGTTAGTATTTCCTAGTAAAATGATTCCTTGGTTTCAAATAACTTAAATTAATTATATGTTAGCTTATTTAAAATATAATATCAAACTATTATGGCATTTAATAACAAATTTCATTTCTAATAGTCAATTTTGAAACTCTTGACTTGAGTGGGATTAAAATCATTTCCGATTAAACCTACGAAAAATGAATACTTCAATATACTATGGTTATATAAATTCTAACGGCATTATATTATAGAATAGCTTAAAAATTATGAACGAAAATTCACTAATTTCACAAGTAAAACAAATGAATTCCATCAAAATGCGGAAAACCCAAATTGCATCTAAGGTAATTTTCTGACAACAAATAGAAATATGATGAACACAGCACATTGTACAGTATAAATTACTTATAATTAATATAAAAGGAACACTTAATTGCATGTGCCATCAGCGTCTTGATATCAGCTATGACATTATAACATTCATTATTATTGTATTTATTTGTGACCGTGTGTGTAATGAAGTTTTACTATTTTAGACACGAGTAACCGAAATAAAAAAAAAACGTCATTCAGATACGCATCATCATTATAGTAGGTCTAGATAAGTATGGGCTTGGAAAGGCCTAGTTAGGTCTCTCAGTTAATTCTATGTATATTTTTAATGTAATGCATACCTATTTTATTCGTTTACATAATCAAGCGTATGACAAAATGGACCCACGACTCAGCACCTCCAATAATAAGCTTATCAAACTTCACGTATGCACATCACAGTTTTATAAACCAACATTAAACGAATATCTTATAGTTATAGTCTGTTATCCGAAGCAAATAAAAGAACGCATGACATAATTGGATAGTAATATTTCATGGCACACCGGTGATAGAAAAATAAAACCTCAAAATACTGAAAAGTATTGTATGACGAAAAAAAAAACAAAATACCAGTAACTTTTTTGCTTGTTAGTGGCGTTTTTCGATAAACCCCGTATCTATTGTTATTCTGTGCACTTCTTGGTTTTCGATTTGGACGAATATGAATAAAAAATTTCGCAAAGGTAAGACGAAATAATATTCTATAAGACATAATAAAATAGCTTTTGTCTCTCGTAATCTAACACCCTGCTGGGTCGTCACTTATCTCATAAAACTCGAAAAAATAATGACTATCCAGTATTGTAGCCGTAAATAGCATGGTACGTATAAAATCATTCAAACGGTATTAGTCATCTAACAGGGCTTAAAAGTTTTCTTCTTTTCGCTTTTCGCCCTTAGGTGCCGAAAATAAGAGTACCTATCGACGAATCAATCGCTTGAAATAACTCATTAATCAGAACACGTCTATTATCCCCCCCCCACCTCTTCCGATCTTTTTAAGGTTTCTTAAACAAATAACACAAGGAAGAAAAGAAAAAACAACCGACGACCTACCCTGTACGCAGGTTCACAACGAAATGTGACGTCAATACCCATCTGAAAACTTATTGGTTTGGATTAACCGGGATAGACAAAGGTAAACTCCCGAGTCAAATAAATTGCCCATAAAACGTATACGCCAACGTATATAATCCTGTACGATAAACCATTGTTCTGCGGCGGACGAAAATGTTTGTCGTGACGGAGTATACTCAGTTCGTGGCCTCGGGCTATCAGTTATTATAATATCTCTACACGCATATAATAGTACTATAATAGACCATTTTACCGTGTCAATGCAATAGTTAAAGTAATTCTTATCCAGAGGACACGCAAGTATTAAATAGTTAATTGCAACGAATGTGTACACCACGTGGTAGCTTATATAATACTGTGGTGGGCATTGTTATTACACTTGATTTTGATTATTTTTCAAGGTTTAATACGATTTATTGTGATATTAAACAGTAAAACTAAAATATGTTGTTGCAGAGTTGCGTGCAACATTCAACAATTTAGGTGTACAAAACTTAGTAAAAATAGTTGCACAAAACAAATAGATATTATTGTTACAAACTATAATATAATATGATATTGTATATTAATTGATTTTATGGATAATGAACTGTGTACATACGTTTTGTATCGAACCCCAAAATAAAATAAGGACATGGAAATTTTGCTATTTCACCAGCCTTTGTCCGATTAATACACGTCCAGCCATCAAATTCTCCTGGACACCAAGCATCAGTGTCGGGCACTATAAAACAATAAAACATTTTAAACACTATAAATTCAGCACTGATATTATATTAGGTACATATTATATAAAATATTTTCAAACACAATAATAATAGTTTTAGATTCATCACAATTTTATTCATAAACAATTACCTTGTTTATGAATATCGAATCATTGTTTACGTTTCATATTTTTTTCTTTTTCATTAAATAATGGAAAATTAATTTTATTAATGTTTTAATTGAAAAAAAAAACACCCTATAAAATTACTATTACCTAATACAAACTAATAACCAAACTTATTAAACTTCTCCGGTACAATATGGTAATAGAATATATTTTGATACCTACCGCTGTATGAAATTTAAATAAAAATACATACGGACTTCCTAAGTGCCATTTAAAATGTTCAAATAATTAAATAATTTTTGTTATGTAGCTGAATTATACATTAAAAAGGTACTTCACTTTTAAGTCCAAACGTGTATATTTTGTACATCCCTGCTTATTGTAAATCCTTCTTCGAGGGAATTAACCAAAAGCTGTAATTTATGTACATTTTTATGCGTTGTTTCTCTAATTTTTGTTAATAAATATGATACACGATAAAATATGAATAAATTCAATGTATGAATGTCATATATGTTTATATTGTACTATAGATAATATGTTTAACGATGTAACAATCATGAAAAAAAAATTATATTGTGATAGGTAGTTTGATGTTTGTATTTTTATGTATATGATACAACATTTTTAAAATACAATAGGGGGTAATAATATAATAATATGACGTAATACACACAGCTAATGAGTACCGATTGTCTGATTATTACAACGGTAAGTTAACAGAACTTAAAAAAAACTAAACAGATTCTAAATTCTAATCAAGATACATTATTGAAACAATAAGAATTTAATGTATTTTCAATATAATAAAATCTACTACAGTTTTCGGTAATAAACGGTTTTGTGACGCTGAAAAAATAATAAACTTTTTAAAAACAGGTACTTGATTTTTAAACGGTTAAATCGCCACTAATTTAAAACAAAAAAAAATAGGGTTGCTTTGGCTCTCACAAATTACAAACATTATTTCCTTACCAGTGGACCTTTTTAAACACCGTGTAATACCTTTGTAGACCCATCAAATGCATATATATTGTACCTACTAACATTTACAACTAAGAGAATAAAGATACTATTTAGAGTTAAATGGCTCGATATTAACTTCATACAAAATACATAATCTTTCCAAAATCTCATGTAAGCACCGCGAATTTGTTAATCATGACAACTTAAAACATTTTTTTCTTTAAATTATAATTCATAAGTAACACTGAAATATTAATACCAAACCATATTATCTGCAAAAATAATATCAGTAAATACAAATGAGATTTTCAACATATTAAAATGAACTATTACCAACGCTTCCAGAGTCGTCTTTGGTTATGCAGAGGAACTATTGCCACACACAGTTTAGGGGCCCTTTTATAAGCTTAAAAAAATGCCAATCAAAATATCAAAATGTCGGGGTTAGCCCCATTAACCCGAAGGCCCTAGCTTGTGCTCCACGTGCGCTGAATTGGATGTAGGTATAAAGTATAGCGTTAAAGTCAATAATGAAACAATAACAAATGAGCAATTAAAAAAAATTTCAATTCATAATGCTGAATCAATCGCCATTATAAATGTTCTTAAATACATTGATAAATTATAACAATATAATCTCTCTTTAACCTAACAAAATCGTAATCAACATAATTAAGTTAAAAATTTAAAAGTATAAAACAAGAATGTCGAGTGTATATAAACAACGGAGCATAACAAAATTCACAGAAAATATTTAGTTGACTAACACGCAAAAGTACAGCAAAATTGTATGTTCCTAATCCCAAACTAAAATACAATAAGTACAATAGTATACAAATAGTATACATAAATACATACAAAATTACCCAGGCAAAATATCTGAAAAAAATCACTAGAAATAAATCAAAATACAATTCTCTGGTAACAATATAGAATATATAGAAGAACAGAAATCATAATAAACTACTGAGAATCGGCCACACCCAGTTTAAGCTTGGACACCTCATTTAAAAATAATCACCTACAAAATGAATTAAATATGGAATAATACCGACGGTATACCAAAATATTATTATGATGGAATGTAGATCCAATAAACAATAAATATCACAAAGTATCCGAGAACTTCTATGAAACAATCGGACCCGATTACCAACCAGGGATCATCCCAGTTCTCAATAATTCCAAATTAGAGAAACATATATAAATATATAATACAAACAAATAGTTATGTTCTTTTTTTATTACTAAATGTGTTAACTGGAAAAATTTATATAATTATTTGTATAATGTTATAATCATTCTCAAATAAACCCTCTCCATTCCCACAACATTAACAACATCATGTAGATATTTGTATTTTTATCACTTGAAGTCATTAAAGAAGCGTATGATTCTATAATAAAGCAGAAATGATTCTAATAGGATTTCGATCATATGAAAATTTATAAAATTACATTTAATGTACTATAAACTAGATTTCCTGTAGTTATAAGTACGTCTTACTAAAACGTTTTAAATTTTTTATATTACTTAAAAAACTTTTCCCCTTAATCGTGCCTTTAAAAAAAATGATGAGATATTGGCTAAGTGTTTACCTGGTGGTTCACTAAGCCATTTTTCATAATTTACGATATTTTTCCAAAGTAAATTGGAAAAAAAAATTTAATTTTCCGCGCCTGCGATAACTAAAACTTTTTTCATCAATATGACACGTTAAACAAATTAAATACTTCGTATAATTTTATATCAATAAAATTATTTTTACTAAAAATATAACAAACAATCTAATAATAAATTACTTACAATTAATTTTATATTCGATTCCTAATTAAACGGTTGTTTTTAAAATAATGATTATACAGGGATGAATCAATTTGTATGTATTTTATAACTAAAAATCCCAAAATGACATTAAATATATAGTATTCTAATTTGACCATGTCAGATACCTATGTATTATAAAAATAATATTAGTATGCGATATAACATACTTGAATATTATAATAGAATATTTTAATAAGATATTTTGATTTAGTGGTTTTGCTTAAACATAAAAAATAATTTTAATTAAAATATGAATTACGGGTTTAAGATTGTAATAGGTACAACAACACACGCATACGTACACACTTCATTAATTTGTATATATATATATTATAATTATTAATTTAGGCGTACCAATTAAAACCGTGCAATTTTCTCGACAACTTTCAAAGCACCTCAAAACATCATGCTTATAATAACGACACGGCATTAATGAATCTTAATAACAATACGTAATTGTACGCCCCATTAATACAATATACATTTGAAGTGTAAACTTTGAACTATATACGCATACAATAATGTTATTTACATGACAACAACAGCCTGTGGTCTGCTCCTGACTTTTGAAGTTGATATTATGTGCAAACAACATACCGAGGATAGGTAATTATAATATTATGTACGTTTATTGAAACATAGTGGAACCTGTTATTCCATCGAACGAGGTGAGGAATGTGTATATAATATAATATAGAGGGGTAGAGGTATCGCAGGACGTAAGTGCGAAATCGACTCGAAACGATAGCTTAATCGGAACGGTTGTTTTTAGTGTTTACCTGAGAAGAGTATTCGTGGTGCAAAGTTTACACCACCCCTAGGCTTAGTTGGTTCTGCACATGCATTTAACGTCGACTGGATGTGGCTGTGCGTAATCCGATATTCGCCAAATCGCGAGTTGTCGAGACGGCGGCGCGCGAGAGGAGGTGAATAAGGGTTAATGTTATTGTTATTGAAGTTGGGCTGGTAATCCTAATTGCCTGAACGTATGGCTTGGTACATGGTGTGAGACGCCCACTGTAATGGAATGTGAACGGAGGCCATAAGGACGACTACATTTTCAAGTTGAAAAAAAAATAAATTAGTTTAATGGCGTAAATGCGCGAGCCAGTAAAGCAGTGTCCAAAATTAGTAGTAATTGGTCGAAAACTACAACGAAAAGATTAGACGTTCTAATTTATAAAAGGCTTTTTGAAATATCGTAAATGTCCCAAGATGGTGTTTTTCGCAGTTTTCCGCCATCGACCAGAAGAACCCGATTGACAGGCGACTATTCTCCGATTTTCCGATTTTCCTAGGTCGGACGTGTGCCACCGGACGCGACCTCACTGTCGGTTTCAGGAGTTCAGGACGGTTTCCTGAAACGATTCTTTTTACCAGATCTATTTACATAACCACCACTGTGCCATAAACCATGAACACGTTTATAGCATGCTCGTGTCAGTCCACCAAAACAATCAATTCCGTGACGATTCAGTTACTTCAAAATGCAAAGTCAGTAACTCAACAGCATCCCTCTCCGCACCGTATGTTATAATGTACAACGAGTATAATATTCTGTTACGACGAAAATGTTCGGTGGTACTGTTTAAATATCAATTATCTTTATTTAAACGAGTGCATCAAAATATATATTAATACGAGTATTATAATATTATATTTCAGGCGGATTCCAGACAAGAAACGCCAATCACCGTTGGCGCCAGTCGCTCTTAAGTGTTCGACCATAACTTTTGGACTAGATAATATTATGTGTAATCGCCAAAATCGTTTCAAATATATATAAATACTATATAGCCGATAAAACAGAAATACAAACACACAAATATTGGAGTGATGCAGTTTATTTTCGTACGTAATCATAACATTTTGAATTATATTGGTATTAGCTTAGTGAATACAACAGAATATCGAACGTTCGCTAAATATTTACAACTCATGCCGCTGGTTATCATCAAATTGTAATCTATTATATATTTGCAAAAATTATTTACTGTTTTATAAAGATGCGTAGCAGACAACGGATCATACGATGATCATAATTTATGATTTAAAATAGTCACATCATAATATTATTATCTGTTTATACATTTTAT